ATATGTGATTATATAAAGGTATATACTGTTATTAAACAGACAATCAAGAATGTAAGGGAATTAGGATTATTGAAAAGAAAAAAAATATTAATCGTAATTGAAGAGACGCTGCACAATGAAAGTTAGGTATTTAGTTATATTAGATGGAAAATCTGTGATTGTAAATGTAATTGAGAATATGGATGCAAAAACACTTGTAACCAAACGACAGGCTGTATGTAATGGATGCGGGGGGGGGAATTTATGTTGCTTTTTTTATGTTTAAAAATAAAATAAAAAATTTGCAAAAAAAAAGGAAGCCTCCTGGGCGCATCGCTCACCACCACTCCACCCCGTCCAGTTGCTGAGTTTGCCCATCTTCTGAATTCCCGGAGAGCCCCAAGTGGGAGGGTCGGTTGGGCAGCCTGCCAGACTCCCGTGAGAGAGCTCAGGCCTTCTCTGCAAGCATCCAGGACCTTTGGGTTCCATTCCAGGCCCCCCAGGGCCGCCTGGCCACAACTCCCGATTTGCCCCCTGACCCAGAGCAGAATCACCGAATGATGCTGCCCTGCCACCTCCGCCCCACGGCCGCCCCCCAAGAGTGCAAGCCGGCTAAGGAGCCTGGGGGTTCTGGGGAGGGGGGAGGGGCTGCACTGGGAGGGAGGGCATCCCGTTTGGGAGTGCGGAGGAGAGCAGTGGGAAGCCAGGCGGCTCTTCAGTGCCCGCATTGTGAGGTAACCAGGGGGTCACAAAGGGCAGAGCTGCCAGGGGCTTCTAGCCCTGGAACGCTGGGAAGGGCGACCCGGAGCGCCAGAGCCTGCACCAAGTGAGACCCGGGGACGGGGGTGGGAGGGGAATCTGCCACTCCCGCTCGGCTCTCCCTCATGCAGATTGGGCTCGTCAACTGGACCGGGGGGTACCTCACCTGCGAGTGCTATGGGGATGGTGTCAGCGTCTTGGGGAGCTCGCTGGGAAAGAAGCAGGTACGGAGTGAAGGAATTGGGGGCGGAGGGAAGGACTGAGCTCCTTCAGCCAGTGGGAGGGGGGCAGCCTCCCTGGCAGCAATGCTTGCTCCCTGCCTGGCAGTGGCCCCTTTTCCTCCAACGTCCACCGGGGGAATTAAAAGGGGGGTGGTTTATTTGCGTTGGTTGAATTTAATTATTTTGAATTGGGGGGAGACAGCTGCTTTCCACTCCTTATCCTATGGATGCCTTGAAGTTTGTCCCTCCCCCCCCCACCCGCAGCCCACCCTCGCAGTAGGGAGAGCCTTGCTGCTGGCAGGCCTCTCAACAGGCGGAGGGGCTCCGCAGAAGACCCTGGAGGCTCCTGGGTCAATTTTGGGGTGTAGAGCTGGAAGAGTCCCACCCAAGCAGCACCGTGAGGCCGGCTTCCCCAAGGAGCTGCAGGGAAGGGGACCCTCCCTCTGGGCTTCCGTGGAGCTGAGCTGGTTGGGAGGGGGAGCCAGGTCACCTGCCTGCTTGTCCCCCCACCCTCAAAAGCAGACCCACAAGGGGAGAGCGATTGGGCTTTGCCCGGCTGCTCAGCGGGGCCGGTGACTGGCCACTTTTGCTCTCCCAGACCTGGAAGCTGTGGGTGACCACAGAGCAAGGGAAGCAGGACGTGGTGGCACTGGTTGGGCACCAAGGGCAGCCCCTCCTGGCGGAAGCGGATGGCACGGTGCGTTGTGGACAGCCGGTGGCCCAGAAACAGAGCCGGTTTCTGCTGGAGGTCCATCCGAGTGGGGCCTGGACCCTCCAGCAGCTGGAGAGCCAGAAGTTCCTGGAGTCTGATGGGGAGGACGTCTTCTGTGTGGCCCGCAGGCTGACTGCTCACCACCTGTGGATGCCCCAGCTGGCTGAGCACATGCACGTGGTCCTCTTCAACCCCAGCAGCCAGCTCTACGCCCGGACCGACCCGGAACTGAATCGGGTCTGGGTGGATGCGCCCGTGCCCTATCTGGAGGAATGCGGCTTCCTCCTGCGGTTCCGGAAGGGGACCTGCCACTTGGAGACCTCCACCCACCAGTTTGTCTCCAGGGCAGAGAAGCTGGCCACGGTGCCCTCCACGGAGACGGCCTTCCACCTGAACCTGAAGCCCGGCTGCCTGGCCTCCCTCACGGACATGGAGGGCCACATCCTATACCCGCAGGGCAGCCGGGGGCTCCTCTGCCTTGGGGACCACCCAGAGGAGGACGAGGAGTGGTTTGTCATCAAGCGGTGCCCACCATGGGTCAGTCTGAGAACGAGAGCCAATAGATTCGTCAGCATCATTTCTGGCAAGTAAATCCCTGCTTTTCCAGCCCAGGAAATAAACAGCTGCCCGGAGAACAGAGACTCGTCCCACCCTTACCTGGTCAGGTCACTACAAACCTGAGCCCCTTCAGAATTCAGG